AGAGTTGTTGCCTAATGAGGAGAGGTTTCTGTTTGGGACCAGGAAAGAGTCTGGAAGTGGTGGCGATAGTCGCCCAATATTGTGGATGTGCTTGATGCCCCTGAGCTTGTACACCTTTAATTCTTTTAAAATGGCAAATTGTATGTCATGCGTCTACATTTTACAGTGAAATAAAAGATCTTGATGTTGACCTTGCTTGGAGACCTCTCCGGTGCTGGCTTTGAAGAAGCAGCTGCCATGTAGGGAGTGAGCCATGTGGCCAGGAGGCGAGGGAGCCCCCAGCCCCCGGCCAGCGAGGCCCCGAGGCTGACTGACCACCTGCGAGCGACTGATTCTGCCCAGAGCCGCGGAGCTTGAAGCAGATCTGTCCCCGGAGCACCTCCTGTGAGGAGGCAGCCCCGCCCACCTCGAGGCGCTTTAGGACCCTGAGGCGGAGACAGTCACCGGCACAAACGCCCTAATCCCCCGGGGACCCCTGGCCTCGGAGCCCTGAGAGGTGAGCTCTTCCAGCGTGGGAACCGGGAGCTTCCGGTGCGGGGAGCTGGGCTGGAGGGATCCCCCGGGAACGGTCTCCGGCCGGGCAGCACCCCCCCGGGAGAGGATGCTGGGAGGAGCCGCGGCCACCAGGTGGCGCCCTTGCACTTTCCTGGAGGGAGTGGGGTGGGCAGGGGCGATGCTGGCTGCCCCAGAGGAAACGGCCCCGCCTGCGGGGTGCCAATGTGGGTGTGGCCACGCCCCCAGGCTGTCTGTGCCACCCTTGTAGACAGACTGACAGACAGACCTGGAGCGCATCCTATCCTGCCAATTGGAGGATGGCCTTGGGCAGTGACTTGGCCTTCCCCTGCCTCTGTTTCCTCACTGTGATGGGAAGCGCGCCCCATGGGGGCCACGCCGGTCCCTCACTTCTCCCGTGGCCTTTGTGTGGACTTGGGTGCATTGAGTAGACCCCCCACCGCGACCCCACACCCGCCTCCGTGTGCCAGTCTTGCTCTGGGCACTGAAGCGGCATGGCAACAGGCCCGGAAGAGAGGCTCTGAGCGCCCTCTGCTGGGCAGCCCTCCCTGAGCCCCCAGGAGGGCCTGGTGCCTCCTGTGAGTGCCCACCTCTTCCTCTTCCCTCTTCCTTGTGCCTCACCCACTACACGTGTGCTCCTGGGGGCAGGGTGGGCAGCGTCATCTCTGAATCCCCACTTGGTTAGCAAACAGTGGGCGCTCAATAAGTGCCTGGTGAGCTAATGCTCAACAGGCCTTTCCTGCAGGCCAGGATGGCTGCCTGGTCACTACAGTCTGGTGGCCTCCAAGGCAGGGGACAGCCCAGGGCTTGGACCTGCGGCCCCCAGATTGGGACAGCCTGCATGGAGGGGCTGTCTGTGGCCCAGCGCTGGCCCCTGGGAGGGTCTGCCCTGGGATGCTGGGCACAGCTTGACTTGTATCCGGGAAGAGCTATTGGCAGGAAAATTGCAGGTTTGCGCCTGGAGGGGTCCCTGGCTGCAGGTGGACAGCGCTGGGTTGGGCTGGCCGCCGGTGGCGGGGCCCCAGCAGGCAGCAGCTGGGCCCGGGCAGGAGAACGCCCCGCTCGTAGGAATATTTAGGATGGTCCGGTGGACTCAGGGACGAAGCACAGGTTTCCAGCTCAGGTGAGCAACGATGCACGTGGAGTCCCTGGCTGGGGCTGAGGGACAGGCGGGCCCTGTGACATCCCACGCCCCGACTCCTTAGATGTAGCGGTACCAGGAAAGGCCCCTGATCACAAGCTGAGCCAGCCCAGTGCGGCCCCTTGTCCTACCTGCCCGGAAGGGAACGGGGCACCTGGTCGTGAGAACGCCCTCTGCACCCTGGCTCACGTGGGTTCAGGGCTCACGTGGGTTCAGGGCTCACATGGGTTCAGAGCTCACGTGGGTTCGGGGCTCACGTGGGTTCAGGGCTCACCTGGGTTCGGGGCTCACATGGGTTCAGGGCTCACGTAGG